GATGGTCATTGGCAGCGTTCGTTAAAATGTATGGCGAATTGATTTAAAATGATTATTGACTGAGATAAGGCATATTTTTCTCTTTTGAGAACGCAATGTCTATAAAGGTTTTATTAAGTGACTCTATGACCATTAACACCAAAGATATAAATACTTTGTTATGCATCTGATTCTCAACTAACCCTTTTACGTGAATGAAAAACTTTCATCAATATCCTGAGGGTATTCAAACTAATAAAGACATTTATTCTAAACATAAACTTTTTTTTCACATTGTAAACACCTTCCGTCATGTATGCTATGTACTTTAACCTTGTAAACTCCTACTGGAGAATAGGATTACAGCCTCATCACTATTGTGAGTTTTGATACAAGGGAGAAGTTCGAGAGAAGCTACTGTTGGTATAGAACTTTACATCTAGAATGTTCAACTGCAAAATAATGACACCTACCTGCCAATCTAGTCCTGTCCTTAAATTTGTAAAGTCGAGATACCAAAGAGGAAAGATCTTCAGAATATTTTTTTATATGAAAATATTTATAGAAATTACACAGAGAAGCAACAGTGGGAAAACGACTGAAACCTAGATTGAAGAAAAGGAACGTGTGAAGAGCCATGATCGCTTAAATCCTGAAAGAACATAGCATTTCAAGAAGAAGAAGAACAAGACTTGTTATTGTATTTTGGTCGGTCGACGTTGCAGTTCTTTGTCTTGTATGTTACGTGAATTCCAGTGTAGCAACCTTTATTAATGCCGACCTAATTACCTCGTTCTGTCAATCGCAGGTGTGTTATGATTTCGCTGACCGATTCTTTCATTGCAATCGCCCCCAGCAGATACGAGCATATAAAAAATAAACCTCAGAGTAAAGTAACCATGTTGCATGGGTTGTTGTTCTGCAAGCAATTCTTCTTCTTCCTTGTGAAATAATCTACAATTTCCTCTTGTTGACCTCATACAGGGCCTCAGGCTTCGGTGTTTATACGTCGTACTTGACATTTGCACACTTGTGACGAGTCGCTCGACGTGAAAGGAAATATTTGACTAATGTTTCCTGAAAGTTTATTCCATTTTTATTCATCTGTACTGATATTAATATTTTATTTGACTGAATAATCAAAAATAGCGACTTTATAATATCTTTTTTCTCGTCTGTTTCTTAAGGACGTTCGGAGAAAATAATGGAAGCCATATGCAACTCTCAGAAACGGGATACTTTTTTTAAAAAATCGTTTCACCTCAGGGATGGCAATAACACCACGAAGACGCAAGGGGTTACTGAGTGTGAAAGAATATGAAAAAAAGGAAAACAAGTATGAGAAAACAATAAAAGAACAGAAAATTAAGAAGACAGAATTCAAGAAACCGGAAGAAAGTTCCACAAGTGAGAAAACAAAGTATTAACCCACGGTTATATCACAGCGATTATCTCTTCAGGAAGACGTGAACAAAAATACATAATCCTGGCACAATCCTGGGTGAGATATACTACATTAATATCATACATTAATATTTATTGCAGTCTAATTATTAATTAAAGACTTGAACCTATCTTCTATCTGATTGATTGATAAAAATAGGTTCAAGTCTTTAATTATTAGACTGCAATAAATATTAGTGTATGATATAAATGTAGTATATCTCACCCCAGATCATGCCAAAATTGACTTTTCATATAGTGTCCTTCTGATATATATCTCACTCCAGATCATTCAAGAATACACTTTGCATTCAGTGTCCCACGGAAAAACCAGGTTGAAGGTTGACCTATGCGAATGACCTGTAGGCCACCGAGTACAGATCCATGTGATCAGCCCAGCAATGTCTGAGATATACACGCGTCTGAAGAACCGTATCTCACAGATATATAAATGCCCATACCAGAGAAAAGACAGACTCTTACATCCCAAATAAGAATGTAGGGCCAAGTTCAGATGAGGATACAAATACAATGCTTTGCATGAGAGAATTAGTCTTGTGTTTTCATTTGTCAGCGGATGATAATATTATATTAGAACTAATCACGGAAGTTAAGCAAAGTCGAGCCTGGTCAGTACCTAGATGAGTGATTGCTTAGGACTACCAGATGCTGTAAGCTTGGATGTGAGGATGATGCAATGGATAGCCTTAAAAAGGGCCTGCAAAAAATCGTAAAGACTTAACACGAGGGGAAATAGAAAAATTAGGCGTAGTTGAATATATATAGGGGCAAAAGAAAGATCATTGTCACCGATGGGATGATGTTGAACAGAAAAACATCACTAGAAAATACGAAAACTTAAGGAATCAGCATATATGCTAGAGCACAAAAATCCCCTACGTCGGCCAAGCATAGAAATGAAAACAATGTGTGAACCATTAATAAGGAATGCGACAGAAAAGCAATAACAACAAAAAATTGCAATATGAAATCTGGTAAAAAAACGTTTACTGAAACATTAAGGTCCCTAAAACCCATACACTGATATCCTCAAGCGTTGATGAAAGCGTTTGTTGGATCCTGTGACTTGACTCAGAGTGTGGTTAGTTCAACACCTGGTGACTGCAGTGGTAAACAAAAACTAGGAGAGTTGAGGTTAAAGGGAGATAATGCGAGAAGGTTACTAAATGAAATTGTTTAGTTGTAAGGGCGGAAAATGAGGGGGAAGGAGAAATAGGTGCTTATTATAAGGATATGTAGGATAGATATCGTTTGATAATAGACTTGAAGAATTATAATTATGTATTGCTACTGTGACCTGCTTTTGCACTTTGCCTTTTATGTCGGTGATTTGAGAGAACATAGACGACATATTCACTGGTAGCACAAAAACAAGATTCTGACAGATGAAATTACATCCTCGGTGTAAATACTAGTCATCATGTAGCAAGAGACATGACTTCATCATTAGAACTCATTACATCATTGTTGACATTTACTTTTCCCAAAACACCTGAATTTTTCATTCGTTTCGTTCCCCATATTAACCCATTTATTTCTTTAAATATGTTAGTTAACTGAGGAAGTAAATAACGTGACCCCAATGTTTTACTTATCTATCTATCTATCTATCTATCTATCTATCTATTCATCTATCTATCTATCTATCTATCTATCTATCATACTCTTCATAATCTATCTATCTATCTATCTATCTATCTATCTATCTATCTATCTATCTATCTATCTATCTATCTCAATCTCTTCATAATCTATCTATCTATCTATCTATCTATCTATCTATCTATCATAATCTATCTTCGCAAATCTATTCATAATCTATCTATCTATCTATCTATCTATCTATCTATCGCACTCTCTTCATAATCTATCTATCTATCTATCTATCTATCTATCTATCTATCTATCTATCTATCTATCTATCTCACTCTCTTCATAATCTATCTATCTATCTATCTATCTATCTATCTATCTATCTATCTATCTATCTATCTATCTAAATTTTCATTGATATTATCTTATATAATTGTCTTTTTGTATGACCACACTTATTGTTTGTTTTGGGTAGTTTATCCTTGCTCTCTGTATCTTGGTGTCTGTAGGATAAATACTTACTAAGTTTAACAGGTCAAAAGACTGAAATGGAGATTATTGTGAGATGGAAGATTGTTACACTCATTTTCCATGTGGGGAGGGCCTGTCTGCATAGAAAATCTTCATTTGAAATTCAGTGGCAAAAATAAAAAATACGTAACTTTTTAAAAAGTAAAAGCGAAAATATTTGACTTTGCTTTCTGTATTTTTGCTTACCAAAGAGTTATGGCTAGCAAGCACGTCTCAGTGGCATTCACGATTGTATCAAGACCCCGTGTTCGATCTTCACTGGGTGATCCTTGTAGCTATGCGATGTATTAAGCTAAGATTATTAAATACTTGTAACAATGAAACAGCTCTATATTTTTGTTTACAAACGTGTGATCATTAGCGATCTCATCTTGAAAACACTTTGTATTGAGTTCGAACCTTACCTTACTTGCATTTTTATTTTAAAGATTTGCGCTTCGAAAACAACACGTTCTTAATAGTATATTTTAGAATACATATACGATGGAAGGGGCTTATTTATCGTCTAACCTCTTTGGATCCACTTTTATTTGTAGTGTCTCTTTCTGACATTGAGGGATCATGACTCTCCCGAACTTTCTGCCGTTTGCAACATTTGAATTTTTACCATCCCGCTTTGTCTCCGATTTGCAATCCATTTGCAGAAACACGCTAGATAATTTACTCGCTGTTTTTCATTGACCTTTCTTCTACGCGTCATGTGAGTGTTGAATTTTCCAAACCTTCTTTCCTCATAAATTTCAAATGTTTCTTTCTGATTTTAAGAATAAATGTCCGTTTAATTCGCATTTTCTTTCAAACTTACTTGTTATTCACATGACATTCTCAACATCCCCCATATAGAACCACATTTCTGTTGCCTCGAGTCTCTTTTTTTTTTTTATCTGTGAGGAAATTGTCCAGCATTTACTGCCATATTTTAAACAGTATTTTATTTCTTTTACCTTGCTTCATCCCGACTCCCTTTGTAGCCGAGTTGGTTAAAACACGCCAGATCTAACGACAGTTTATCCTGCAGAGTGGGGTCAGGTTAATATCCTGTCCGGGGGTGGGGGGAGCGCATTCTTTTCAATTCGATTTCTAGAATATTCAGGCTGGTAGATGAAATAAAATACCGTTTAAAATAGACAAATCGTCTACACAAATATGGTTTTTGATTGATTGATTTGTTTTTTTTTTTAATGGCTTATCAACTCTTTGCAGGTTATTTGAATCCAGCAAATATTTGTAAACTGTACAAAAAAGCTTTTGGAGATAATTATTTACTGTTAAATTTTTTACTAATTAACCCATAACTGGGGGGGGGAAAAGAGGTTGATTTACCGCTTTCCCAAGGGTATATGCGCGTTAGTGAAATAATGAAACCGAGTGGAAGTGGAATTGGAACTCGACTCTCCGATTTCCAGTTCCGTTACAAAATCTGCGCATCCAAGCTTACAGTATCTGGTAATCCATAGCGGTCGCCCATCTAAGAACTAACCAAGCTCAATGTTACTTAACTTCGGTGATCGTATGAGAACTGGTGTTTCAACGTGATATGGCCGCAAGCCATTGGTGTCTCCTAAAAAAAAAACATTAAAAGTGAGAAAATATGCCGGATTATTTAATTAAAATCCATCATTTCTTTAGAAATTGCTTTGTATACGGTGAGCAGATTTGAACTTTCGGTAATCTAAAAACGAGACGGATGTACTTAAGGACAGTATATACAGCCATGGCGTTTTTCGTAGCCGAGTTGGTTAAGAGCACGTCGGCTCTAACGATGGTTTTTCCTGCAAAGGGGGACGCAGGTTCGTATCCTGATGGAGGGTGCATTTCTCTTTAACAAGATTTTTGTCAGGCCAGTAGACAAAATAAAAAAAAAATGCTTTAAAAAATCGGAGCGTCTACTTAAATATGAATACCCACTAAAATAACGCTTGAAGTGATAAAAATATATACACATGCAGATAGAAGAGGCGGAAATTCTATTTCTATTATGCTCCCCCCCCTGTTTGGAGTTACCGCATTGCGTTCAGTATTATTTTATGGATAACCTAACTCATAACGGAGACATTAAAATGTCAAACATTTTTTAGTTATTTGATGTGACTGTTTATGATATTAAATAAATTCAACAAAGCCAAGATACGGTGAGCGAGTTAGAAGAGTAAACAGGAAAACATCCTTGTTTAATTTATTCCGTCATTATCGTTTAATTTTGGAACGACATAATAAAAAGCATCTATGCTTCGTGGTAATTACTGCTTTGTCTCGCAATTACTTGCTTATCTATGAGGCACATCTCGCGATATTTTGTTCGAGAAAAAAAATGGCAAAATAGTAAAAATAAAAATAACAAAGTTCAAGACGTGCTATATTCCAAATTCGTATCGCGGATTGTTGCTACTTAGATAAGTTCAGTTCTTTTAACTGAGTTCGGTTCTTTTTTCTTTACTAATGTTCACTTAATACAAGGTACAAGAGCCACTCAAAGTAGAGGTTTACTTTGTGGAGTTGTATTAGCGTAAGAGAGGGCAAGATAACAGAAAAGGTAGAAAGCTAATTTTAGACTTGATGAGGTCAAGATTTAATTAGCGAATAAAATTTCAGAGTTCAGTATAGAGTTGAAGTAAACTTTAGAAGGAACCAGAAACCTAATCCTAAGCAGGAAAATCTACTCCGGTTCAGAAGACCTGGGAAAAGTGTGAACTGGACGATAGGCAAACCTATCCAATCCTATTTGGGAGAGGAACAAAAAATATTGAATAAAATTTTAGATTTCAGGCGGAGACGTCAGAAGTACAGAGTAAAAGAAACCGGAAATCCAATCCTAAACAGGAAACAAGAGATAAACCTCTACTCCTGTTTAAATCGGGGAGGAGTATGAACCAGATGATAGGCGAGGCTATCTACTCCGAGATTCGTGGAGGATGAAAAAAATTCTGGTTTTGTAAGCCTAGTAAATAGCTACTGGGAGTATCAGTGTGGAGGTATAATTAGAAAGCTAGCAATATTATTTACGAGGTCAGTGCTGGAAAATTCTTGGCATGGCCATCTTCTGTAACAGTTTTTGCTGAAGGGTTTCTTGGATTGGCTGTGAAAATTTCAGCACTCACTTGTAATGAGCTCAATCATCACTGGGTGTTTCACATTTCAGCCTTATGCCAGCCTATGCTAAGCTTGGTAAATATCGATAGCGATAAATATTCTATGTAAAAAAAGCGTAAAATAAATACAACTAGGTGAGAAAAATACACAGATCCCAAAAGTGGAGCTGTTCTGTATCTCGAACAATGAATGTCACAATTCAAATATCAATCGTGCTAGGGGATACTTCGGTTATATGATGGAGAAGAGGAATTACATTTTCAGAAAGTCGTATCGACTACGTATTTTCAATGTGATGCTGATAAGTATTTTATATTAGGTTTTTACATAAATTCTTTGCCTTTTTTAAAATTTATTTTAATACTTAATATTCATAAATAGTTCTGATGAAACATTCAGCATTGTATTCGTCTACATCGTTTACGACCACCTGCCATCAATCCACTAACTGTCCAATAGCTCAACAATAGAAATTTCTAGGTTTTGATAACCCAGGAGAAACTACATCCCGCAGCAAGATCTCTGGTCGGGAGATTGGAGATTTTGAAGATCTTGGAACCACTATTTATTTGTTGTTATTCCTAGGTCCACCCTGATCCGGGTGGTAGCATATGTTAGGGTCCCAGGTATGGACAAAGAGTGAATCACACAAAATAATTTTTAATTGTAAATTACCAGCCATAGATTTTTATAAAAAAAAAAAAATAGCAATTATACATTTTTATATTGAAATTACCAGCAATATATTTAAAGTAAACATTATTACTAATAATATATTTTTTATGGTAAAATGACCAGTAATACAGTAGTATAATAAAGTAGAAATACAAACAATGCATTTTATAGTAAAATGATCAACAGTACATTTTATAGTAAAATGATCAACAGTACATTTTATAGTAAAATGATCAACAGTACATTTTATAGTAAAATGATCAACAATACATTTTATAGTAAAATGATCAACAGTACATTTTATAGTAAAATGATCAACAGTATATTTTATAGTAAAATGATCAGCAGTACATTTTTATAGTAAAATGAAAATCAATACAACACTAAAAAGTATATAAATACATTTTATGCACAAATTACCGCCAATACATTTAACAAAAATACCGACAATACGTTTTATCATGTAATATATATATATATATATATATATATATATATATATATATTATGTGTGTGTGTGTGTGTGTGTGTGTGTGTGTGTGTGTATGTGTGTGTGCAGGTATGTAGAAAAATAGGAAAGAACAACGTTAGGTAAGTAATCCACGGTTCTTTAGTATTTTTGTTTTTATTTTAAAAAAAACAGTGCTCCATACAGAAGTAGAGCTTAGATTATAATTTAATTTTTAAATATGTTTCCTTCACCACATAAGAGTTCTCATGTTTCAAAAACGAGAGCCGAAACCGTCACTATAATTATTAAAATTAAATTGAATTAAAGTAACAAGCCCTGTTTCATCCTCAAGCGAATATTTAGGAAAAATTCCTAAATTTTCGCTTGAGGCTCTCGTTTTTGAAACATGAAAACTCTTAGGTAGCGAAGGAATCATATTTTTTTAAAAAATAATTATATATATATATATATAATATATATATATATATATATTAATGCATGTTTCATTAAATAATATAGACAAGTTTTGTCTATTTTAAGTAAAGTTCCTTTCATATTGTCTGATAAGCTTAATCACATTATCGTTGAAAGACGAAAGGAAAAACACCATATTGATACATGTTTAAATCCAATCTAAGCTTTCGGCTTACACAAGCCAGTATGAAAGATGACAATTTCAATAAATCGAATAACACACGATAGTCTGCCCTTGCTGCATGAAAATTTCCAAGTAACGACAAACTCGTATATACGAGACGCGAAAGCGAAAATCTCGTCACAGCTTGTGACGTCACACATAATCACGCGAGAGTGAAAAACGAGAAGTATTAAGTATGGGAAGCCGTTGGTATAAACCAGTGGCTTCTGTTATAAATTATAGACATTTAAGGATATCTGTGGAGATTTCATTGTTTATTTTGTTCAGGTTAGGTTTCAAATGTTTTATGTATAAAGGTTAAAGAATTTTTAATTTTTGTTTATTGTTTTCATGTTTAAGTATAGTTGTGTTGTCAACAAGGATTTTCCGGAATTGATATATGGCCAGGCATGTTGTTTTAAATGTCTAAAAACAACATGCCTGTCCGCGTACAACAGTTTTACAGGGTGACCAGAATTACTAAGAGGCATAAAATGTTACGAGAACTTGTTCTTCAAGATCATTAACAGAACATCAGAAAAAAAACAAAACAAACAAAAAACAAAAACGAATATATGTAACAACCTAATAAAAATGGAGATATTGCATATACTCGTTAAAGTAAGTAGCGTGATGCAGAAATTACGAAGCGGGTTCAGACGTGACTTGAAAACACATCATATTTAGAGTATCGTTAACACTCGCAGTATATTTAACCCGGAAAGTGATGATAACAAAGCAAAAATAAGACGAGACTAGTCAAAAATAAACATGGAAAATTTTACATCTAAAATGACAAGTAATTTAAGATCAGGAAAAAAATAAAAGAAGAATACCGTGAAATGAAGAGGTTAATTTATCGATGAGTTCGGCCTCAGTCGAAATCATAACGTCACTGTTCCACAATCATTTTTTTCTTTACTAACGCTGACCAAATACAAAGCTCAAAGGCCACACAAAGTAGAGAATTACTCTGTAGAGTTGTATTAGCCTAAGACAGGGCAAGATAACAGGAAAGATGGCCAGATAATTCTAGACTTGTAGAGGTCAAGATTTAATTAGCGAATAAATTTTCAGAGTTCAGGGGGAGAGGCTAGAAGTTTAGAGTTGAAGTAGACTTTAGAAGGGACCGGAAACCCAACCCAGTATAAGAAACAAAGGATAAACTTCTACTCCTGTTCTGGGAGAGGAGTGTGAACCGAACGATAGGTGAACCTATCTACTACTATTGGGAGAAGAAAAAAAAAACTGAATAAAATTTTAATGCTAAAACTAGCCAAAAATTAAACACTGAAAATGTTTAATCTGAAAAGACAAGTAATTTAAAACCAGGAAGAAGAAGAAAAACACTCAGAATAGATAGACGGGAGGAAGTTAATGTAACTAATGTAAATCGATATAAATTTTATATGTTATATATATATATATATATATATATATATGGAGGGATAGATATACATGCACATACATACATACTGGTTTGTAGTTGTTTCTGTATAATTGCAAAGTTTTCATAATAGCCATGCACAAAGTTAATATTGACGACTCCTTAAAAAAATTTTCCAATACCGATGAGGCATGATTGTCTGTTGCATAAAACAGAAAAAATTGCTTGAGAGAATGAGATGGGAGGCGTTATTTGCCATTCCCAAATATAAGCATAATAAGGACGAAAATAAAAGGAAATCATTTTGT